CTCTACTCTTTGTCACGTACAACCGGGGAATCGAAACCCCGCCAGTTCAGATTTAGCTCTTGCATAATGTGTGTTTAAGAAAGATGGAGACTTGTGCCAACCTGCTTAAAGAATAAAGCTGTATAAACGACATAACATTTAGTTGTAAATCCGATCGCGGAGAGAACACAACAACAAAGTCCAGTAGTACTACACCACACTACCTGAATCAATGACAGACCTTAAGATCTAAAGCGCACATTAAGCCACCCAAGCCACTCGTTCTTACAATAAAATCCTGTTACAAAGTCAGTGCGAAGGTATTTAAAGATACTTTCCCAGACAAGAATTTATCAGGTGGTTATATATTATCAATAAAAGTATGGCAATTTTGGTATAAATGGAAAGTAGAAACATCCAATCTTACTAGAAAAATACTGGATTCTCTGAAAAACACAGGACAAAAATGTTCGCGTGACATCAAAGGTTGCAAGCAAAGATTGTCTAATCTCTCAGCGAAAGTGATAAACTTGATGGTGAGCTTAAACATACAACAGTTTCTGAGATAAAAAAAAACATAGAAAAAGGTGTGGGCAGTGAATAATCCGAGAATTTAATAAGGCTTTGATATTTATGATAAATGGACAGCGATTAAAGAAAATATCGTCTTGTATATGCAATAATTTCTCCTCCGGCTTCACACCAGTTGCTAGGTAGCACGTAAGCCAAGTCACATGACACAAAAATATGAGTTCTTTGAATATGTGTTTTTAGTCCCAAATATATCATCAAATCTCCCAGTTTGTACGCAGGATTTGATTCCCTGGTTGTATGTGACAAGGAGAAGGGTCGCCTTGTCCAACCTTGTGGGTTTTCTCCGGGTCCTCCGGTTTCCTCCCACTGCTAAAGACACCTACACGCAAGCGAATTATTGAAATAAAATTGAACCATGTGCTAGTCCTGAAATGACCTAGTCTGTGTCGAGTGGACATTAAACTCTCTCTCTCTCTCTCTCTCTCTCTATGCGGGAAGGTATCTTAAAGATATCCTATTAAAAACTGTTCTCTTAATTTGCTTATATAGTAATTAACGGAGAATAATGATTTACCGCAATATAATATCATCTTTAATTAACTCAGTGTCTTAGACAGACACATGGCTTTACCAAAATGGCCAACGGTTATTAAGCTAAAGGAAATAAAAACGTGATAATTAATTGAGAACCATTATGTTGTTATTTAATAATATTGAAAGACAGAATATGAAAGAGAATATTGATTTAGGTTTAATGAGAATGGGTGATATGGCGAGAAAATAGACATTACACGATCATAATATGTGAAGAAATAGATGTTATATTAGTATTTTTTTCTTTCATAGAAACCATTATGTTGCAATGTTATGTTATGGAATCGATTTAAACATACATTGTGTAAGAGCTAAATCTGCCTATTGCAGGTCTTTATTTAGGCTTCAAATGTGATAGAAATTATTAATAAGACATTTATTCATATGACAAGATTATAATTAACTCGCTAGATTTAAATGGATTTAATTTTGGAATTTTGAATATTATTCACTATATCTTGATGTCCGATTGGGCATATTCCTGGTCGGACAATTTCGTCAATTTGGAAAATAGCGACGGACATGTCCGGAATATACATATAGATATTATTTAGACATTTATTAACATGACAAGCCTTTAATCAACTCACTAGACCGTCGGATTTAAAAATTTGACAATAAAATAGTTAATTGATTGTCAGGTACCATTGCTACAATGATAAACAAACGAAGCTATATCTTCAAATATATTCATTTCTCTTTGTCTATTTTTAAACGTCAACTGGCATGGTTTCGAGAGAGAGAGAGAAATAGGGTTTAATGTCCACTCGAGGTTTGGACAGGCGACCCTACTCCTTGTCACGTACAACCAGGGATTCGAAACCACGCCAGTCGATGACAGACTCTATGATACAGCGCGCACGCTAACCATTCAGCTATCCAACCCCCCGTGTGGTTTCGAATCCCCAGTTGTACGTGACAAGGAGTAGTGTCGCCTGTCCAACCTCATGAGTTTTCTTCCAGTCCTCTGGTTTCCTCCCACTACTAAAGACCCCTACGCGCAAGCGAATTATTGAAATAAAATTAAACCATATTTTAGTCCCGAAATGACCTAGTTTGTGTAGAGTGGACATTAAACCCCATGCCACTTTAAGTGGAATTCTATTAAAGATGGGTTCCCCCGTACAAACTGGGTGATTTAATGGTATATATGGACCAAAATCACATTCAAACTAATTAATTTGTCATAATTATGCTTCAAATCCTTCTCAAACATTGTAATTGTGAAGGAATGCCCTGCTATTAAAATTTGATCAAACCAGGTCATGTTTACGTCACGTCTTGGGAGTCAGAGGAGAATTCATTGTATACATAAGACGATGTTGTCTTTAATAGCTTACTATTTATTATAAATGTCGAATCCTAATTAAATTCTCGGATTATCCACTACCCGCGTCCTTTTCCGTCATTTTTATCTGAGAAAGTATTGTACGTCTAACTCTTCATAAAGTTGATCAACTTGTACATCAAGCGCTCAATGTTCGCATGTGACTATTGACATCACGCGTGCAGAAGTTCCTAATCGTCGGGCTGTTGATTAGGGGAACCCTTACATTTTTGTCGTGTATACGCTCCATGAGTGTTTTTCGGGGAATCCAGTATTTTTCTAGTAAGATTGGATATCTCTACTTTCCATATATACCAAAATTGCCATACTTTTATTGGAAATAAAATAAATTTAAAGAAATAACCCATCTTTAAATTTACTTTAAATACTATTAAGAGGAATTTCATTAAATCTGATTAAATTTATTTTATATACAATTAAGAGGAATTTTTCAGACAAGTGATAAAACTTTTTGTTATATAATATAAGCTTAGACTGGATCTAAAATAGGGGTCACGATAGCTAAGTAGGTAAGACACTGGCTTGCTAGCATGGAGGTCGGGTGTTCGATCCCTGCATTGGCCAAGAAAGTTCATCCTGATTTTCCATCATGGTTCCCCCTTGTCAGTGATGCAGGACGGAGGGCCTGACAAGGACAGCTGTCTAGTCGTTCGGATGGGATGAAAAACTGAGGTCCTGTGTACACATGGGCGTGCAAGTAAAAGAGCCCTTGACAGTTGAAATTCGATATAAGAATAGGCCGTAGTGCCGCTGTCTGGGCAAAATTTCCCCCATAGCACACTGTATGGCGATTGCCTGTCCTCATTAGCCCAGTTCGGAGCAGAACAGTAGAACGTTAAAACCTATTTCATTTCATTTCATTTGGATCTAAAATAGTTGGCTTTATTGGCTTTACTTAAAATAGCCATGGAACTAAGCTAAATTGATCAGCTAACTGTATTATTGACATCTTGAAGGCATTTCTCTCTCGACTGACTGAAACGACAGTAAGGAACAGTCAATTTGTGTTGGCAAATGAAATAGTCGTGTGGGGAATACAGAATGACAAGTGTATGGTAACATGATTATGATAGTTTTACACGGTGTCAAGTTGTAATTACATTTTCACCCTCGACTAATTTGTAGTCTTCCCAAGAAATTGCTATTATCGATTTAAAATGCTGACGAAGCTATGCACTCGACAGTCAAATTTATTGATTATTATAAGCAATGATCTCCTAAATCGTGAGGGGGGGTTGGATGGCCGAATGGTTAGCACGTGACGCTGTATCATATGGTCTGTCATTGAGTCAACTAGTGAGGTTTCGATTCCCTGGTTGTACATGACAAGAAGTAGGGTCGCCTGTCCAACCTCGTGAGTTTTCTCCGGGTCCTCCGGTTTCCTCCCACTGCTAAAGACCCTACACGCAAGTGAATTAGTGAAATAAAAATGAACCATGTGTTAGTCCCAAAATGACCTAGTTTGTGAAATGTACTCAAATTGCTTTTTTAACATTTAATTAAGAAAAACAAACCCAATATGAATGATCTGCCAGCTGAAATATAGTCAGTTTGCTTATTTAACATTTACGTTAAACATACATTATACAAGTGCTAAATCTGCCTATTGCGGGTCCTTCTTTAGGCCTGAAATGTTATCTAAATTATTAATTAGATATTAATTGACTTATCCAGACCATAATCAACTCTCGATGTCAACGATGGCCCCGATATTTAGCAGATTTAAATACGTTTTGCGGTTGATGTGGTTAACATAGAAATGGATAATCAAGACTTTGTTTATTATTGTAATAATGGTAGCAATGATATGATAATTGGGGCTAGACTGTAATAGATTCGTCGATAACTAGTCTCAGAGTGAAGTAATTTGACTGAAATTTTCAGCATATTCTATTTTCATTATCTTTATCTTAATTATTATAACGAGAACTGTCAGCTCTTGATCTAATTTTACCTAAACCAAACCAAAATATCAAGGGTAGATATTCACTCATCTTGGATATAATGGGATTAAAAAAAGACCCACCAAAAAATTTTACCCAACACTTATGTGTGGCGCTGGCTTGTTTGTCTCGTCTGAAGAGAGAGAGAGAGAAATGAGGTTTAAGTCCACTAAAAACAAACTAGGTCATTTTGGGACTAACATAATATGGTTTAATTTTATTAATAATTCGCTTGCACGTAGGGATCTTTAGCAGTGGGAGGAAACCGGAGAACCCGGAGAAACCCCACATGGTTGGACAGGTGACCCTACTCCTTGTCACGTACAACTGGGGATTCATGCCAGTTGACTCAATGGCAGGTCTTATGACACAACATGCACGTGCTAACCATTCGGCCATCCAACCCCCCTTGTCTCGTCTGAAGAGGATGTCGAATGTTGAGAAATTTTCATTTTGTCATATCTTTGTAAATACTGCAGAGAATTGATCTCTTCTTGGGTTGATATTCCGATTAGAGATCATCTTTCACCATATGGTAGTTTGCTAGGTGTCCAGTATGCTGTAATGATAATTTTTAAATTCCCTATATTTTATTTTGACAGAGTTTGTGTTCTTGGAACAGCTAATGGATGGTTTTTAAAGATGCAGAGTCGAGTGCATGTTGATCAGATAGTGGAAGCCTTTGCTCAACAATGTCCGTACATGTCAAGACTAGAGATACAGTGGGATCCAGATACTATCCGATACAGCGATAAAAGTAGCAAATTTATTGATCATTTAAGGTAATTCAATTTTTGTTTTGTTTATTTCACAGAGAGGATCTACAGTGGCTCAGTGACCATGACTCTTGATTCACTAATGAGCAGGTCTTGGGATCAATACTGGTGATGACCCCAAAAGTTCCCCCGTGTCTGGGGATCACAGTGGCTAAGTGGGTTAGACGCTGGCTTGCTAGCCTGGAGGTCGGGTGTTCGATCCCAGCATTCGACAGAGAAAGTTCATCCCGATTTTCCAGCGTGATGCAGGACAAGGACAGCTGTCTAGTCGTTCGGATGGGATAAAAAACCGAGGTCCCGTGTATACATTGGCGTGCACGTAAAAGATCCCTTGACAGTTGGAATTCGATATAAGAGTAGGCCATAGTGCCGCTGTTCAGGCAAAATTTCCCTCATAGCACACTGTATGGCGTATGCCTGTCTTCATTAGCCCAGTTCGGAGCAGAACAGTAGGACGTTAAACCCCATTTCATTTCATTTCATTTCCCCTCTGTCTGTGGTGCATGACGATGATGAACACAGATAGAAGCCAAAATATATATATATATATATATAATCCATTGGTGGATAACCTTACAAGAGTTGTCTCCCATTAATTGATCAGAATTATTCTACTATTCTACATTACCTGGACATTGTATGAGGATTCAGTTGGCAATACAAAAATACAAGAAATGGGATTTAACTTCCTACTTCTCTACTCCAACTGGGCTAAAGAGGACAGGCATATGCCATACACTGTGCCATGAGAGAATTTTACCCGGACAGCAGTTCTACTGTATTTCGAATTCCAACTATCATGAGTTATTTTATGCACATGCCAATGTTTTTGCGTCATCCAAACAACTAGAGACTTTGATAGGCATGTATCTGAATTCTGAAGTGGGAATTCATGACAAAAATCAGCACTCAAAAAACTAATCTTCCATCCAATTGGGAAAAAGAAATTGATGTGCAGAGATATGTGCCAGGGGTACGAGACTGCCTCAAGCTTGGTGATTAAAGGAGCTAAATCGCTAACATTTGGGACCTAGAAATTGACAATAGTGGGTCGCAACGCATACAATAATGTAATATGAATGTATATAAACTGATTTACATTCAATGGTTTCCGTTTTTACTCAAATTTTAAATCAGTTATGTTCGACGAAATAAGCCAGCAGTGTAAATTTCTAGCGTCTGGTTATTCCAGTCTACAAACGCCGTTTGAATTGATGCAATGTGTCTAGTCTCGTCCCTGAAGTCTCTTATTACAACTGGGGCTGAAGCGCATTATGGTACACGATTCGTGTACCAATGTTAAAAAAATTATTTTATCTTAGATATCGGATATCAGAAGCTCATCTTTTCCCGGTAAGTTTACAACATCAATGTTGATTTAAATTTACCAATAATTCGTGTTTTCGATGTCGAAGATTTTGGAGGATTTTGAGTTACGGACTTAGGTCCTTTAATTATTGTGAGAAATAATTTTTGCATCATTTAACGGTAGCACAATTTGAGTTAGACCCTGAACATGTAACCGACTTTTTTAATTTTGTGACGGGAAATTTATTAATAAAATCAAATTTGTGCCTGATATAAAGGTGCGTGACAAAGCTTAAATTTGTGTCTGTGACATTAGCCTTATTTCCAGGCTTATAGATTTCAATCTGATTAAAATACAGATCTATATTTTGTTTCGTTTTTTATACGTCCACATTTTCAGATCTTTATTTTGTGGGGTTTTTTTTATACTTTAGATGACCTCCACTACATGAAGATCTGACTGGTTGTAGTGGGAGGTCATGTCAGACATTTGATTAACCAGTCAGCTTTGATGTTTCTAGTGGGACACAAACAGTTCTGTGCACTGCACACCAAGAACTTGTCGCAACAGACCGTTTCATTAGCTAATCCCTCACATCAACCAGAACGCGGGTTATATAACAACTCTTCCAGATCCTAGTGTTGTACAGACAAGTAAAAGGAAATTTTGACCTATTAAAAATGAAACGAAATAGGATCTGTGTTTGAATCAGATTGTATAGAATGTACGTTAATGATAATTCGTTTTGCTTTCAGGTTGCGATGCCCTCACTTACGATCTTTTAGTTTAAGCGATGGTGAATATTATGAAATGGTCAAGTCTAACTTTGAAAGAGCGGATCGACAGAAGGTTGTTAGAACAACAACTAATTATACAACTAGTATTGTTTGTTTATTAAACAATTACAGAGATTTATTATTCAATTGAAAAGGTAGGTTTAAAGGAGCTAAATCGCTTATATTTGGGACCTAGAAATTGACACAAATGGGTTGCAGCGCATATAATAATGTATTAGGAATGTATATAAACTGATTTACATTCAATCGTTTCTGTTTTTCTGTAATTTTAAATCAGTTATGTATTACTTGGTTTGACTGAAAGTAATATTTTGGAGAAGGGTTGGATGGCCGAATGGTTAGCACGTGCGCATTGTGTCATAAGGTCTGTAATTAAGTCGGGGGGGGGGGGGGTGGTGGATGGCCGAATGGTTAGCATGTGCGCGCTGTATCATAAGGCCTGTCATTGAGTCAATTGGCATGGTTTCGACCTCGTGGGTTTTCTCCGGGTCCTCCGGTTTCCTCCCACTGCTAAAGACCCCAACGCGCAAGCGAATTATTAAAATAAAATTAAACCATATGTTAGTCCCAAAATGACCTAGTTTGTGTCGAGTAGACATTAAACCCAATTTCTCTCTCTCTGTCATTGAGTCAACTAATGTGGTTTCGATTCCCCAGTTATATGTGACAGTTGGGACACGATTACTTTAATTTTAATTAAGTTAGAGTGATGAAACTTGGTGTATAGTTTCATTACATCAATACCATGACTAAGTTTGATATTGAGCATTTTCGGCTCAGGATAAGCAGAGCTAAGCAATTTCATTGGTCGATGCTTTTGGACAAAATACCTTTTGATTCTAACCAAAGGAGAGTGATGAAACTTGGTGTATAGTTTCACTCACTACCAGGTACTTCAAAACCTGACTGAGTTTGATCGTGAACATTTTCTGCTTAGACAAAGCATAGATAATCAGTTTGATTGCTCGATACTTTTGAAAAAGATAAATGTTTAATTAATTAATATTTGTCATCTATTTATTTTGGTGGGGGACATCAGCCTCACTTTTGGCTTGTTATCTTACAGGGGGTCACGGTGGCTAAGTGGGTAAGACGCTGGCTCGCTAGCTGGAAGTCCGGTGTTCGATCCCTGCATTGGCCGAGAAAGTTCATCCATATTTTCCGGCTGGTTCCCTCTTGTCAGCGATGCAGGACAGAGGACCTGACGAGGAGAGCTGTCTAGTCGTTCAGATGGGACGAAAAACCGAGGTCCCGTGTACACATTAGCGTACACGTAAAAGATCCCTTGACAGTTGGAATTCAATAAAAGTGTAGGCTGTAGTGCTGGTGCCCGGGCTAACTTTTCCCTCTCATAGCACACTGTATGGCGCATGCCCGTCTTCATTATCCCAGTTCGGAGTAGAACAGTAGGAAGTTAAACTCCATTTCATTTAATTTCATTGTTATATTACAGATAGGAAGTTTTACCACCATGCTACGAGTGTAGTATAGTGTTGTTTATTATGCACAAGTTATTGATGACTGAGTATTGTTATATTACAGATAAGAAGTTTTACCACCGTGATAGTAGTGTGTTGTTTAACATATATTCTATGTTATTATAGAAGAGTGTCCTAGCTGTCTCCTAACTAACTGCTCAAATCGGGACGTCGTTACTGGGCGTAACCAACAGATACTGAGCCATGCATAAGTTTAATTGTTACCTGAAAGAGAGTTGACGAAGAGTATTAAGATACACCTAAGGCCAGGGCAAATTTTAAGGTCTTCGATGTCTTGATAATAAATAGCGACTTCAGTCTTGTGATCCCTTTTTAAAGATGCATTATATAAGATTTAGATATAAAGAGCTGGCCATTCTTGCTATAATAGTTCAAAAATAAAAAAATGAACATATTGAAAAAATTTCATTCAAATTACTTTATTCTGGGTGAAGGGGGGGTGGGGTGGATGGCCGAATGGTTAGCATGCGCGCTGTATCATACGGTCTGTCATTGAGTCAACTGGAGGGGTTTCGATTCCCTGGTTGTACTTGGCAAGGAGTAGGGTCGTCTGTCCAACCTCATGGGTTTTCTCTGGGTCCTCCGGTGTCCTCCCACTGCTAAAGACCCCTACGCGCAAGCGAATTATTGAAATAAAATTGAACCATGTGTTAGTCCCGAAATGACCTAGTTTGTGTCGAGTGGACGTTAAACCCCATTTCTCTCTCTCTGGGTGAAGTTATGACTGTTTGAAGATGTAGCGCACATCATTTATTATCGCAGCAGTGTTACTTGACAACCGAGACTAAGGCTCGATTATCCATATCATGGTTAAATTTTTTAAATCTTGAGGATGTTCAGATCAGTAATGGGATTTCGCCCGTATATTCCGGACATGTCCGACGCTATTTTCCAAACGTCTGAAATTGTCCGACCAGGAATATGCCCAATCGGACATCAAGATATGGTGAATAATATTCAAAATTACAAAATTAAATCTCGGCCATCAAATGTTATAGCAGGTTGATTATAGTCTTGTCATATTAATAAATGTCTTAATAATAGTTTATATAACATTTGAAGCCAAACGAAAGACCTGCAATAGGCAGATTTAGCTCTTACATAATGCATCTTTAAAATTTTATTTTTTTCCCAAAGAAAGAGGAAGAAAAATTCAAATTGGGTGTGGTCTGAATCATGGTTACTAATGATTGTAAATTAAAGAAATAGCTGATATAGAGTATTTAAAGAAACAGCTGATATAGAATAATGAACTGTTTTTGTAATGATGTACAGATAGTATGATAATTTTAATTGTTACTTAAATCAGCTGATTTGTCATTTGTATTTAATCAGGCATTATGGAGGATAGATAAAGAGCTGGCAGTTCTCACTATAATAGTTAAACACTAGATAATTTAAAGGGAATTGCTCCACTCTGAACCAAGATATTACCGTTTGAATTTTTAGGCCTGGCCTTGATCATCATTACTAAAGACTTGATTATCCATTTTTGGATTAAATCATCAATGAGTGTAATGAGCAGCAAATCGGATTCAAATCCAGTGAAAACCTGATACATAAGTTGGCATCAAGAGTTGATTAAGTTCTTTTCATCTTAATAAATGTCTAATTAATAATTTAGATAACATTTCAGGCCCAAAGAAAGATCTGCAATAGAAAGATTGAGCTCTTGTATAATGTATGTTTGATCAGACAATATCAAATTATTCACGGTTTCATCCATGCTAAAATGTACACAAATTAATTATTTAATATTTAATTAATAAAACAATGCCAAATTCAAATATCAATGCTACATGATCTCCCAGTTTGGATTCAATCAAGAATAAAGAGAGACCTGTCAAAAGATTCTACCCAATACCTATATGTGGCACTGGTTTGTTTAATCTTATGCAGAGGATATCTTATGTTGTAAATTTTCAGTTCATCATATCTTTGTAAATCAGTGTTGCTATTTCCAAATTTTTCTTGTCAGACATTTTTTACCAAAAATAAAGGGGCATAACTCTTATTATTTAAGCAGATGGATTCAGACCACAATTATAAAAAATCATGTGTCAACAGAATTGAACAATTTATGGACGGATATTCAACTTTCAGAATATTGTGGTTTGGAAGGGATTCACATATCCCTCAAATGATGATCATTGGTTTTAAGATAATAAATTGTGAGAATGAGAATTTATTGTTAGATCTACTTATTGTGATATCTCGTATTTTAATTTATATTTCTTATTTATAGGGTTAATTAAGTATTTACCAATTTATTTATTTTTATGAAAAACATTTTGCAAAAAAATGCTCAGCTTTATATTTGTGAAACATGTAGGTAAAATCTTCATAAGCAATAACGAAATACTGAATCAAAAATGAGGGTTGAATGGCCGAATGATCAGCATGTGCGCGTTGTATCATAAGGTCTGTCATTGAGTCAACTGGTATGGTTTCGAATCCCCGGTTGTACGTGACAAGGAGTAGGGTTGCCTGTCCAACCTCGTGAGTTTTCTTTGGGTCCTCCGGTTTCCTCCCACTGCTAAAAAACCCTACGCGCAAGCAAATTATTGAAATAAAATGAAACCATATGTTAGTCCCGAAATGACCTAGTTTGTGTCGAGTGGACGTTAAACGCCATTTCTCTGTCTCTCTCTGAATCAAAAATTAAGACTTCAATTTAGCTTCGTCTAAACCAGGAATGCTGTTTCAAGGTTTTATATTATCCAAATTTACATAGAATAGGATTAAATGATTGAATCAAAATAAGACTAAATAAAATACAATTAATCAAAATTAAATTATGAAAGTAGAATTTGTGTTATGATGAAGACATTTAGGTTAAATGCAATCTGGTTAAAACACAGATCCTAGTTCGTTTCGTTTTTTATAGTTCAAAATTTCATTTTACTTGTCTTTACTACACTTGGATCTGGAAGAGTTGTTATCATTGACAGGTTCTGAATAGTGTGAGGTATTAGCCAATGAAACGGTCTGTTATGGCGAGCTTTAGGCATGTTTTGCACGGAACTGTGGGTAATCCACTAGTAACATCAATACTGATTGGTTAATTAGTCTGACGTGACCTATCGCAACAACCGGTCAGATCTTCATGTAGTGTAGGCAATCGAAAGTATAAAAAAACGAAACGAAATACAGATCTGTATTATAATCAGATTGGGTTAAATGTCTTTTAGAGTTTCTGAAAAATTCAGTTTTAATATAACCAAACCCAATTGTTGTGTAATTCTATCATTTTCTGTTCTTTATTAGACTTTTTGGAATTCAATTTTAAAACAGAGAGTATGATTGATTGTTTATTATATACAGTATTTAATATTTTTTTTAACTTTTAAAAATATATAGATATTTCTGTAAAATATTTATTTTGTTTATTATACAAAATCTTAGTGTAAATCTCTCTGTAAATGCTTCTTTAAGGAACTGCTGATTTTTCTATATTATTCTTACATAATCAACCCTAGAGATACGGCACTGGTCACAGACATTATCAGATACAAATTCTTTGGTGCCAATCATTTTCTCCAACTTGAATTTGTCTATTTTCACTGTTTTATTCATATTTTTAATACAAGTTCAAAATGTCAATGTCCAGCAATTTCCCAGGTATAAACAATGGTTATTGGCAGACCTAATAATATTTTCAAATATTTAAAATTTCTAAAATAAATTCTTCAGGTTAAGTTTTGACGAGAAGTGACATTATTTTAAAGGTCCGGTAACGAAATGAAGTGGACTGACGTTCCATATCGTGTCAGTTTTATGTACATTATGTATGATTCTACAATGCCATGGAGGACAAATTACATAATTGTTTTGTGTACACTGGATCCCCATTGACGTCCATTTGAAATTATTGCCCGAAACATATTTTGTTGGGTCCTCGATCATCAGGTGTTAACTCCAAACAAAAGAGATCTGAGCTTAAAGCATGTTTTTCTCATCTTGATTAAAATTAATTTATCTGATGGCTTACATTATAGTACAATAAATTCATAATTTAATGAATGAATCTCTTGTTTGTGTAATTGTGTGAAATACTCATAATTTTCGACTATTTTTAGTCTAGGGTGTAACAGGGTACAGACCACTGTTCTTGTTCGGTTTTATTTATATATTTTAAATCTTACATTAAAATATTTGTATTAATTTCTAGTCCCTTTTACCTTTGATTTTTAATTTTTAAAATATATCGCGTGAAGAAAATTTTGTTTTTTTTCATTATATATTTATAAAAGTCAACAAAGATTTCCCATAGAAAAAATTTTAAATAAAAGAAAAAGAATTTATAAGCAAGAGTTTTTAAATTGGAAAAAGGTTAATGGATGGAGCAACAATAAAAAAAAAGATATGTAACTTAGATGACTAACAAAATATTGTTTTTATAAATAAAGAGAGATTTTGAAACTTTCATATAATCATTTGTTAGCTATTTCAAATTTAAGAATTTAAATTAGATTGGTAAGGGACCTTCTCAAAATATCAACACTTGCTTCCAAACAACACATGTCCATCATCTCCGACAGAGCTAGAAAATTTTGACGTTTCCGTTCACGATTCAACATTCAATATATCTTTTTCTATCTGGGGTGTCGTTTCACCCACCCACCCAGTTCAGCTGTTATTCGTTTGGATGCAAGTTTTGAAATTTTGCGATGGTCCCTGAATTTTTATTATCTACAAGTATGTGTAGATAGGTGTATATTTTGTGAATGTTACTTGTAGAGATTGACCGAGGAAATGTTTTGATCTTCTATATATATTATTAGTAATTTATTTCTAGGTGAATGTGCAATATTAAGTGAAATCCTATATAAAAGATGTATTTGAAGCATGCTATATTAAATTATATTGAATGATATCTGTGATATACAATATCACGAGGATTGTTTTTTTTTTATTTATTAAAAAAAAATGTTTAAACATTACTTAATGAGTTATTTTTCTATCGCTATTACATTTATCCAAGCCCACTGTATAGAGTTTTTAATTGCACTTTCAATATTTACATGAGGGGGAGGGGTCACGAATTGACTTGAGCAGTCTGAATCTTGCAAACCCCACCCACACCTTCTCGTGTGATGGTGGGGGGGGGAGTGGATGGCCAAATGGTTAGCATGTGCACGCTGTATCATGAGTTTAGTGGTCACCTATCCAACCTAATGGGTTTTCAGCAGTGATAAGAGAGGAACTTGAAACCACAGTCCTGTGCAGCCTTGTCCTGGACCAACCAGACACCTCAGCACTTTTCATGGATTTGATCACACAACCTGCGCAATATGCACCATTTATAGTGGAACCCTTCTTGAAATAATCAATCATGAATTCCAGAAAACAGAGGCAATGACCCTGTCACCGGAAGACATTCTTTTGAACTGTTTGGGCGCTGCTGACGAGAAGTCCCTGTATACTTTGACCGTTTGCCTCTGTTTCAAACTGATGAACCCAGATTTCACATTGAGTAAAACTGTGAGCCAAGAAAGCCAGTGTATATCGAATAGTTCCCAAGATGCTGTTGACAGCATTCTGGGCACCCAACGGACAGGCACCTTTTTCATGTGAAAATGTTCATGGATTATTCGTTTCCCTGATGCTTTTTGATGATGTCATTTGCAGTAGCTAACTGTCTGACAGTTACTCGTCCGACAGTTACTCGCCTGTCCCTGCATTATTGTGTCCAGAACAGCTTCAACTTTATCATGGATGATACTTAACAAGGACGATCAGACCGTGGTTCATCTTCAGTGCTGATCCCGGGCCTTGTCCCACCATTGTTTTCCCAATGTCTGTCATTGAGTCAACGGGTGTGGTTTCGATTCCCCGGTTGTATGTGACAAGGAGTAGGGTCACCTGTTCAACCCCGTGGGCTTTCTCCTGACCACCCGGTTTCCTCCCACTGCTAAAGACCCCTACACGCAAGCGAATTATTGAAATAAAAATTGAACCATATGTTAGTCCCGAAATGTCCTAGTTTGTGTCAACTGGAGGCTAAACCCCATTTCTCTATATATATATCTAACTGTACCAATGGCAGACTAGATTATTTGCAAAATTTTATTCCTGCTACTGTAGAATCTTGTACAAATAACTAAGTAAGCAGTTCAATAACCTCTGTAAAATGTTGACTATATCTCTATACATAACTCTCTCTCTCTCTCGCTCTCTCTCTCTCTCTCTACAGCAGCATCTCTCTTCATCGAATTCCAAAGGTAAAGGATCTTTTACATACACACTCCAACGAGATTTTTTAAATCTCATCCAAAAGACTAGATGCTTTTCCTCCACGGACAAGGGGGACATCGGGAATGAACCTGGAACCGTATGAGTAATTAGCCAGCCAGCGCCGTATTCACCTAGTTTGTGTCGAGTGGACGTTAACCCCCCCCCTCTCTCTCTCTCTCTCTCTCTCTCTCTCCACCACTGTTTGACTGTACTACACGAAGGAGCATTGTCAGATAATGTTTGTATCATGTATCAATAATGATACCATTTTCCGCCAAATATTGTTGAACTGAACAGAATCACATTTCTACTAAGCTTAATCAGTTTCTGCCTTTATTGTCTAGTCCAGAGAGAGAGGGGGAGAGAGAGAGAGAGAGAGAAATGGGGTTTAACGTCCACTCGACACAGACTAGATGTTTTCGGGATTAACATATGGTTCAATTTTATTTCAATAATTCGCCTGAGCGTCGGGGTCTTTAGCAGTTGGAGGAAACCGGGGGACCTGGAGAAAACCCACGAGGTTGGACAGGTGACCCTACTCCTTGTCACGTACAACCGGGGATTCGAAACCGCGCCAGTTGACTCAATGACAGGTCTTATGATATAGCACGCACGTGCTAACCATTCGGCCATCCAACCCCCCTAGTCTAGAGAGAGAGAAATGGGGGGGGGGAGAGAAATGGGGTTTAACGTCCACTCGACACAAACTAGGTGATTTCGGGATTAACATATGCCTATGGTTCAATTTTATTTCAATAATTCGCCTGCGCATAGGAGTCTTTAGAAGTTGGAAGAAAACGGAGGCTATGGAGAAAATCCACGAAGTTCGATTTATCCGAAGGAAACCATGGCTTGACTCAGTAAAATAAAAATCAGGCTATACTGTTCTAAGTTTCTAATATAATACGGTGCAAATAACCAACATTTACTGAAAAATGGCCGCCATCTTGGATAATGGCCAACCCCCTCGTGATAGGTCAAGATGTTTGCAAAAAATGATTTTTCTAGCCAAATTCGCCTGAGAAACACTCACACAGATTTTCTTTGGGTAATACGTTGTTAGTGAACTTCTTTGTATATCAAAAGCGATTTTCCTTTGTAAACGTCATGTAGAGGGTAATTTTAAAATTAGTATTGAATGGGTTATGGGTGTCGCAATATTTACTTGCTAAGATAAACATTTTCACGTGAATGTCTATGGCATTAATCTGTACGTTACATAAGATTTAGATAAAGAGCCGGTCGTTCATACTATAGTAGTCCAAAAATGAAAATTTGATTAAAATTACTTTATTCTGAGCGAAGTTTTGGGTGTTGGAAATGAAGTGTGCTAATGAGGGATATTTTGCCCGGACAGCGACACATCGAATCCCCACAGTGCACGCCAATGTGTACACAGGATATCGGTTTTACGTTCCACCCGAACGACTAGACATCAGCTGTCCTTGCCAGGCCCTCCGTCCTACACCACTCGACAAGGGGAGACCACGTCAGAAAATCCCGATGAACCTTCTGGGCCAACACCGGGAGCGAACCCGCGATCTCCAGGCTAGTGAGCCAGAGCCTTACCCACTTAGCCACCGTGGCTCCTATTGGTGTTGGAAGATGTATCGCCGATTATTTATTAGCGTAGCAACGGTACTGGAAAATCGAGAATTAGTCTCGTTTGTCCATTCTATCGTTAAATTTTTACATCTCACGGGTGTCATAATCCATTTTAATCTCTGCCATCCGATGGACTATAGAGTTGATTATGGGCTTGTCAAATTAATAAATTTCTAAATAATAGTTTATACAATAGTTGAAGTCAAAATAAAGATATGCAATGGGCAGATTTACATAATGCATTAAGGCCGTAAAGTACATGTTGATGTCATTTCATACTAATTATGTGCGGTGAAATACGTGAGAAGCCTTACTGAACGACATTCGCTTACGCCTGCTTAGTCTATTGGGGTGGGAGGGGGGACGGGGCGGGCGATGGATGGCTGAATGGTTAGCACGTGTGCGCTGTATCTAAAGTATGTAATTGAGTCAACTGGCGTGGTTTTGATTCTCCGATTGTACGTGACAAGGACTAGGGTCGCCTGTCAAACTTCGTGGGTTTTTCTCCAGGTCTTCCGGTTTCCTTCCACTGCTAAAGACCCTACGCGCAAGCGAATTATTGAAATAAAATTGAATCATGTGTTAGTCCCGAAATGACCTAGTTTGTGTCGAGTGGACGTTACCCCCCCTCTCTCTCTCTCTCTCTCTCGCTCTGTCCATATTTATATTATTATTTTGTCGTTTTCGAATTACCCATTACTAATTACTCCCCCGTCGTTTTTCTTTGTTCATTATGAATGGCGCCCGAAAGCATAGAATACACCACTCATGTAGGGATCCCTAATTTTTACGGCAAGATCAGTGCTAATTGAAATATACAAACATTGAATTCTAATTCGTGTTTTTAATTTCGAATATTATGGAAATAATTGAGTTAGAGGTTTAGCTCCTTTAAATGGGAGAGCCAGACAAGGAAAGCTGTCTCGTCATTCGGATGGGACAAAAAACCGAGGTCCCGTGTAAAGATCCCCTGGCAGTTGGAATTCGACAATAAGAGGAGGCCATAGTGCCGCTGCCCGGGAAAAATTTCCCCTCATTGCACACTGTATGGCGTATGCCCGTCTTCATTAGCCCAGTTGGAGCAGAACTGTAGGACGTTAAACCCCATTTTACTTCATTTCATTTCCTTTAAATGGGTGGATCTCGGCTGATGCTATTATTTAACTAGATTGGTTGAGAAAACAGGCTTATTAAAAAAGTTCCCGGGTGTTATAGGTGTGCTATAATAACTATTCAAAAACGTATTCAGTGTAAGTAATATACAGTACTGATAGTCAACAAATGTACGTAATCACTGGTGATATTTAACGTGTTCAATAAATGTGCGTAATATTCAGTGGTGATAGTCAACGTGGTCAATAAATGTTGGTAATATTCAGTGGTGATATTTAACGTGGTCAATAAATGTTGGTAATATTCAGTGGTGATATTTAACGTGGTCAATAAATGTAAGTAATATACCAATCTCACTATAATCACATGTTTTATATTTTAACATAAAGACAAAAGAAATGACACGAAATGGGGTTTAAAGTCCCACTTTTCTGTTCGAATACTCAATTTACTATTTCTTAGCCCCTATTCATCAGACGGCTCTGGGCTAAGTTGGACTTACCCAGACATCACATGATCTCGGCTTGTCGACATATATGGGTATGGACTGGATGACAGGGGTTATGAAATTGATGGAGCTTTGATTAAAGCAGCCGAGTCATTAGCTCAATATCATCCACGGTCTTCGACATTGTAAACGCGACTTATTGGTCAATTTAAATCAACATTGATGATGTTATCTTACCGTGAAAAGATGGCCTTCTGATATCCAATATTTAAGACACAGTGAACATTTTAAAATTGGCACACGAATCGCGTGCCAGAATGCATTTGAGCTATTTGTAATGACGCGACTCGGTGAACAAGGCTAAGCATATCGCGGGGGAGAATACAATCGGTGTAGACTGGAATAACCAGACGCCAAAGAATGCTGCTCAATTGGAACTCTTCGCGTTTTTCGTCGAACATAACTGATTTGAAATTAGAGTAAAAACAGAAACGATTAATTGTAAATCAATTTATATACATTCATATTACATTATTATACGCTGCGACCCATTTATGTCAATTTCTAGATGCCAATGATTAAAGATGTAAGATTTGGATAAAGAGCAAGCAATTCTTGCTATAATAGTTTCAAAATAGATACTGTAAAATGAATAATTTGAAAATTTCATTCAAATTACTCTATTGCGAGCGAAGATATTTGCCATTGAAGGTTTGACAAGATGTGTGCATTAATTGCAACCACCGTACTGGTTGTTCGAAGCTAAGTCTCGCTCCTCCATTTAAAGATTAAAATCAATCTAATCTTTTTAATATCGGAGATATCCGATGGAACCGAAAGTTGATTATGGTCTTGTCATGTTAATAAATGTCTGATTAATAGTATATATGACATTTCGGGCCTAAAGAATAAAGGTCTGCAATAGGCAGATTTAGCTCTTGCATAATGTATGTTTAAAGAATTGGCCCATTTAAAGGAGCTAAATCGCTAATATTTTGGACCTAGAAATTGACCCAAATGGGTCGCAACGCATATAATAATGTAATCTGATTGTATATAAACTGATTTACATTTAATTGTTTCCGTTTCGATTCTGATTTCAAATCAGTTATGTCCAACGAAATACGGGATGAGTCTCAACCGAATAGTAATTTCTAGCGTCTGGTTATTCCACTCTATTGCGCATGCTCTCCAGATAAGATATGGCGTGACCATTTGACATAAATTGTGGAATATGTCTAGCCTCGTTCTTTCTGGTCACTTGTTACAAATAGCGCTGAAACGCACTATGGTACACGATTCGTGTACCAATGGTAAAATGTTTATTTTTTCTTAAATATTGGATATCAAAAGCGTACCGTTTCCCGGTAAGATCACAACATCAATGTTGATTTGAATTGACAAATATTTCGCGTTTTCAACGTGTAAGACTTTGGCTGATATTGTGTTAGAGACTTAGCTCATTTAAAGATGGGTTCCCGCGTACAAATTGGGTGATTTAATAGTATATATGGACTAAAAACATATTCAAACTAATTAATTTGTCATAATTATGCTTGAAATCCTTCTCCAACATTGTAATTGCGAAGGAATGCCCTGCTATTAAAATTCGATCAAACCAGGTCATGTTTACGTCACGTCTTGGAAATCAGAGGAGAATTCATTGTATACATAAGACGATGTTGTCTTTAATCGCTTACTATTTATTACAAATATCGAATCCTAATTAAATTCTCTGATTATCCACTACCCGCGTCTTTTCCGTCAATTTTTTCTCAGAAAGTGTTGTACGTCTAACTCTTCATACAGTTTATCAACTTGTACATCAAGCGCTCAATGTTCGCGTGTGACCTTGGACATCTCGCGTGCAGAAATTCTTAATCGTCGGGCTGTTGATTAGGGGAACCCTTACATTTTTGTCCTGTATACGCTCCATGAGTGTTTTTCGGGGAATCCAGTATTTTTCTAGTAAGATTGGATATCGCTACTTTCCATATATACACTGAAAAAACACTTGTGTTGAAAGAACACAAACTTGTGTTAAATTCAACACAAGTTAGGTGTCTCTATTTAACAACACAAACTTGTGTTAAAACAACACAAAACTTGTGTTAAATGTTGAAACAACACAAAACTTGTGTTAAAATGTATCAAACAACACAAAACTTGTGTTGAAACTTGTGTGAAATCTACACAATACTTGTGTTGAAACTTGTGTTGAAATTTCTGAAACTTGTGTTGAAATTTCTGAAACTTGTGTTAAAATTTCTGAAACTTGTGTTGAAATTTCTGAAACTTGTGTGGTTTCATACAAACTTGTGTATAACCATCATCAAAAACTTGTGTTGTATTTTCCCCAATTTATATCCAGCATAGCAACCTTTCTATGCAGGACCCCTCTCTTTGCTCTGTTAGACCTGTAAAATTTGATAAAAGAAGGAAACAAAAAAAAATTTTGTAAGATTATTATTTATTCATAAAATCATAGGAAAAAGTAAATTAATACATCAAAACTAAATAGATATTTGAAATGTTAACAGAAAAACAGAGACTTCAATTCTAATACAAATTATATTGTGTTATATATAATGACCCCCCCCCCCCACTTTACCCATCACAAAATATAAAATAGCTATTTAAATTGTTTTTTGCCCCACACACTTTACCCATCACAAAATATAAAATAGCTATTTAAATTGTTCTTTACCCCAAAACAAGAACTGAGAATATAAAGATATGTACACAGTATCCCTACCCCATACCCCAAAATATATAATTCAAATATATCTAAATTTAATAACATCCAAACTAAGCACTAATAAGATTAATTATGCACTAAATTGAAACAATTTCAAAAACTGAAAAATGCTACAAAATCACACTACAAGTGATTTGTGAGGCATCTAGAAATAACTAGCATACACAGAAAACTAACAAAAGAAAATTGCTCTATTTTGCAGGAGTAATAAAATGATGTAGAGCCTTTTCCTCATTAAAAAAACCCCAAACAAAATGAATATTTTATAAATAAAAGAAGCAAAGCATCAAGATTACAGGATTGAAATAAAAAAATATCATATGTACAAAAGATTTATATACAATCACAAGTCATAAGCCACAGTGGTTCAGTGAGCATAAGGCATTGGCCGCGAAATTTCAACTGGATTTTCCGGCATAGTTCCCACTTTTCAGTGTTGGATATGGCAAGGGATAATTGGGTACAAGCCCAGAATCAAAAGAGAGAGAGACAGAGAGAAATGGGGTTTAACGTCTACTCGACACAAATTAGATCATTTTGGGACTAACATATGGTTTAATTTTATTTCAATAATTCGCTAGCGCGTAGGGGTCTTTAGCAGTGGGAGGAAACCGGAGGTCCCGGAGAAAACCCACAAGATTGGACAGGCGACCCCACTCCTTGTCTACAACCAGGGATTCGAAACCATGCCAGTTGACTCAATGACAGGAGGCCGTATGATACAGCATGCACGTGCTAACCATTCGGCCATCCACCCCCACCCCCCAGAATTGAAACCAACCCAACTGCGTACACTTTGAAGAACCCTTGAAAATTGAATTATTTGAATCAATGACAGACCTTCTGATCAAATGTGTGCGTGTTAACCATTCGGCCCCCCTGGGTACCCTTTAAAGAACCCTTGACAGTTGAAATATTTGATATAAGGGTAGGGTAGAATCACTCTAAGAACACAGAAAAGCAGGAAATTAAAACGTATTTCATTTCATAAGCAAGGGAAAGTCACCTTAATGTAGGTCAAGGTTTTTTGTAATTCTGGGTGTATTTGATCTACATTTGGTTTCTAGTAATGCCTATTAAATACTTTATGATTTCCGACCAAATTCTAAGTGATTTATATGTCAGTTTACTTGCTATATTATACATACATATTTGAAGAGAATTAAAATCTAATTGTGTTTTGGAAGAAAATTTAACATTAATAACAAAAAATAAATATTTAAAAATTGGGTCAAATGCATTCTTTCCCAGAAGTATAAAATAAATTGATGCTTGGGTTCTCTTGTTGTTATCATACACCAAATACTCTTTCAAGGGTGTTCCAGCCTAAAAAATAAAAAGTAGGCAATAAGAATACAATGTTTAAATAAACAATTTATTTTGCCACATCGAGACTGAGTCTCTATTTGGTTTCAACTTTGCGTAACGCTTATTGTGTCTTGTCCACTTAAAGACCCAGGCAGATTATTATGCTCAAATCAAATGGGTTAAAAGTCAGAAAAATGAAATGAAATGGGGTTTAATGTCCTACTGTTCTGCTCCTATACTGGGCTAATAATGACGGGCATATGCCACACAGTGTGCCCGGGCAGCGGCACTATCATCTATTCTTATATCGAATTCCAACTGCCAGGGGATCTTTTACGTGCATTCCAATATTCATCTCATCGGAAGGACTAGACAGCTGTCTTTGTCAGGCCAAGTCAGAAAAAAGTCTTGAGATTTGGGACTGAAGTCTCATAATAGGTCAACTATTCACCCGGTTCATACATGTATTGTCTGCAAATCCAGATTCCCTACTACATCATTGGCAGCACCTATTTACTTGGCAATGTCTAATTATTTTTGGACCCATTCTTATTTTATTTCCATTGACAACAAATTGGATATTACCCTTTAAAATCTATTGAAATCTATTTGAAAAGTAAAATATTGTCCATCATTATTTTACTGCTATTTACAGTAATGGATGTGATTGGCAAAAATCAAGCATGCCAAGTACTTGAAATAGCTGAGTCCTAGGCATTGCCCCAAGAAGAATAACTAGATTACCAAGCAAGTGTATAAAACTACTTCCTGATTAAAAATACAAATATGTATGTTACTTACATTTTGCCTGATTATCAAGCTCTGTGAGAAAAGTTTCCACAATATGAATAGCCATTTCCAACTGTTTTTATCTTTCTGATGTAGTTAACTGGAAAAAAACATACTATATATGAGATGACTTAAATTGACTCAACAGTTAAAAGATGAAAGTTTTAATTTACAGTCTATATTTTACACAAATTTCTGGAGAGAATTAAAATATAATTGTGTTTGAGAGGGATATTTAACATTAAAAACAAAAATAAAATGCAACTGATAACTTATTAGCTTTTACAATCACTATATTCTTTTTCAAAATTATAAGGAGATCACATGGCTAAGAGGGTACGACGCTGGCTCACTAGCCTGGAGGTCGGGTGTTCGATCCCTGAATTGGCTGAGAAAGTTCATCCAGATTTTCCGACGTGTCTTCCCCTTGTCAGTGATACAGGACGGAGGACCTGACAAGGACAGCTGTCTAGTCGTTTGGATGGGATAAAAAAACGAGGTCCTGTGTACACATTGGCGTGCATGTAAAAGATCCCTTGGCAGTTGGAATTCGATATAAGAGTAGGCTGTAGCGCCACTGCCCGGGCAAAATTTCCCTCATAGCACACTGTATGGTGTATGCCCGTCTTCATTAGCCCAGTTTATGAGCAAAACAGTAGGATGTTAAACCCCATTTCATTTCATTTTCAAAATTATAAATTTGATGGCTTAATATTCAAGTATTATGACCAGGTAGAATTAGAGCATAGTTAATTTGAGGCCAGAGCCATTATAGATTAGCCAGAATCCTAATTAAAATAAACTCTGTAATTATATTAGAGAGACATTGTTTCATAAATTATTATCTATTGTAAAGTTATTCCAGTAAGGTATTAAGGATTATATTGTAACTAAAAACAAAGCTAAGGTATAAAAGTCCTAAAAATTGTATATTAAAGAAAAGGGCAGTTAACCACAGGCAGACAGAGGACATACTGAAGGGCAGGTCTCTGATAAGTTATTTCTTAGATGCTGTTCCTTATTAAGTTACCTATCCTGTGGGTCAGTATTATATGTATATATTATCTTTGTTAGATATTGTTACAGAATATAAGATTATACTAAGAGAAGTGAGTTATTGAATTATTGTATGTTCAATCGTACACCTCCAACTAGATTGAACATACAACCCATCGTCGAAGGTTGGACTATAAGTAGGTCCATAAACCCTGGATGATAGTATGTGGTTGAGTTGGCAATAAATATACTTTCTACGGTTCCCAATTTTTAAATAAATAACTTATTTTTCCACACGTTGAGTCTCTATTTTGTTTCAACTTTGCATAATACTTATTGTGTCTTTTCAAGTTACAGACCCAGGTAGATTATTATGCCTCAATGGGTCAGAAGCCAGAACAAAAGTCTTGAAAAAAAGACAAAATGAAAAAATAATCATTTAATTTACCAATTATCTCCACTAAGGCAGTGGTGAATACAGTATTGCAAACAGTATTACAATATGATATTAATTATATTTTACAAATTCATGCATTTGAACGCTTTATAATAATGATTATGAAAGGGTGTAACATTGCATCCATCTTATAGTTTTGAAGTCATATAGGTCTTTCGCAGTGGGAGGAAACCGTAGGACCTGGAGAAAACCCACGAGGTTGAACAGGCAACCCTACTCCTTGTCACGTACAACCGAGGATGACAGGCCGTATGATACAGCACGCACATGCTAACCATTCGGCCATCCACCCCCCCCCCCATCCAAGTGTATAGAACCAGTTCCTGATTCAAAAAGCAAATATGCATGGTACTTACATAGCCTTTGTCTGATAAGCAACCTCTGTAAGAAAACACTTCCACAATATCAATAGCCCTTTCCAGCTGTCTTGATCTTCCGAGGTGGCTAACTGAAAAAAAATATGCAATGTATTACATTAGTTGGCTTAAATTGACTAGACAGTTTTGATTAAGTCAAAAAATGTTAATTTAACTACATTTGTTTTGTTTCATGTGTTGGTTTGCTTTGCCACAGATGAGACAGTCTTACCTAACTAAGATTCTGTCTGTGCTCATACATGTACGTGTACAGTTTTACTATACTAAACTGAATTTTAGATTTCAAACAGCAATCTTTTCTATAAGAATTAAATAGTTACCCACCAAGAAAAAGCTGCTCTATCATCATTTTTTCCAGCCATTTCTTCTTCCATTTTTTTACTTTTATAATTTCTTTTGTTACATGATCTTTTCCTGGGTGATTTGCATATACATCCAATATTGAAACTGAAAAAATAAATACATTATATGTAATTTACCATTAAAGCTACCATACCATATATACAAACTGTGTGATTTGAAATTGAAACTAATGTATCTATATGTATCAAAAATTTTAATCCCAAGGAACTACCTAAGCCGTAAAAATCTATTTTTATAATCCTTGTTTGTCACATGGTTTCAATGTCGCAGTAATTAGAAGACGACCATGGTGACTGAGTGAGTTAGGTGCTGGAATACTAGCATGGAGGCCACAGGTTACCTCTTGGGGTTGACCGAGAAAGCTCATCTTGATTTTTCAGAGTGGTTTCCCCTGAGATCCAATGTACACATTGGCGTACACATAAAAGTTCTCTTGGCAGTTTGAATTCACTATGAGAGTAGGCCATAGTGTCGCTGCCCGGACAAACATTTTCTCTTAGCACACTGCATTAGACCAGTCGGAGCTGAACAGTAGGACGTTGTCTTTAAACCCCATTTCATTTCAGGTAATCTAGTATTTTTCTAGTAAGATTGAAGTCTCTCTACTTTCTTTATATGTAAATATCATATTTGAAATAAGCCATACTTTTATTCAATATGGGGTGGGGCTGGGGGGAATGGTCTAGTAGTTAATGCATTCACATGAAATCACAGGGTCTGTCATTGTGTTAAGTGGCATGGTTTCGATTTCAAGGAGTAGAGTCGCCTGTCCAATCTCTTGAGTTTTTCTCTGGGCCATTCGGTTTCCTCCGTTTGCTAAATACCCATACCAGCAAACGAATTATTCATATCAAATTTAACCTTACCTGTCCTTTTTCCCGAAACAACCTAGCGTCTGTAGGCTAAGTAGAATGGAACAGTGTGCAGGGAAATGGTGGAAACGGAAGAAAGCTAATCGTCGTCGTAGTTGATTACCGGTATGCATATAGGCATAGCTTGGACTACTTGATTCTTCAAATACAAGTACACGTAAGGCCTTGTTTATGTCATTTTTCTCTCTCTGTTGCATGTAAGTGTCATATAAATACTTTACTTGGGATTGTATGTTCACATACACTAATCATTGTAGGACATTGGTAAAAAAAAAAAAATAGAAAATATAAAAATTAAATGAAATTGTTACCAGTTTTTCTTCAAATTCCAATTCAATGCCAAAATGGAGTCCTTGAACGGTAAATTCTCAATACGGTAATTGCTGTAACTGTAAGGTGGAATGAGTCATATCATCACTGACTGGAAAAAATAATGAAACTATAGAGAAACTTCCACAGACTGATTCTAGTTCCATTATTTATTATTTATTAACTGTGACTGAATCAGGAAAATAGGGGCCTAATAATATTCCACAGAGTGACAGAGTCGGAGGTTGAACGGAGGGTTTGGGGAAAATATCTGCTTATTTGATTTAAGGTTGTTTTTTTAAACATAAATTAGATTACAATTCAACTAACACAAAAGTGTAAAAAGATTTTTTCTAGTCTGTGCCCGCGTTTATGTCTACTCTTGGCAAAATCGTTATAATATAAAAAAAATCATGAAACAAGAATCAAAATGGCCGCCAATCGGGTCTCCAACGCCAATCCAACCTCCCAAGATATAATTTCAAAACAGATTCTTACCTGCTGGTTCAAGTCGAACCGTTTCTGCTTTAATCATAATGTGATTCTGTAATGTAAGTATTTGAACAACATCGTAGCGCCGAACAACTAATGTTAATTAAGCATGATTTCAGAAAAATTGAACAGATTTGATAATAACATGCCGAAATTTTTTTCCTGACCGCGCCATATTATAAACATGAACTTCCGGTTTAAATTGTTGGAGGTTTTTTTAAGGAAACGAAATACTAATATTATACAGAGAAACAATATCGATGCTAAATTACATACATGGTATTATTTTTTTTATATAAATATTCACAAACCTGCGGTCTTGTATTCTATGTGACCATTAGCTTACATTTGTCAAACATATCACTGCTCCAAAATCATTTCAGCACGTTGTTAAATGTTAAATTAATTGTGTGAAATCACTTCATTTAATGTCCGCTTCCACCGAGATGATATCGCAGACAAAATGTAGCCTATAGTACGTTGATTTTATCAACCAATCACATTCAATAACAGTTTTACTTATTTTCTTGTCAACGCATTTGGAGTCAATTGTTAAAATCACACCGGGCATGAGCGCTCAACAGGCCTTTGATCTACCAGTTTATTGGGCCCAACTTTATTTTAACTACAGACATCTTAACACCAATTAGCATTCAAGTCTGTCTGGCTATATTGTCTGAGTAAAAAATACCTTTCTCTTACTTGTGGACCCCCGGATTAAGACTTTGTATGGAGTTCAAATTTAAAAAAAAAAATATTTGTTGACGGTACACATTACTTGTGTTAATTATATGGAAAAAAACACAAGATTTGTGTTAATGCATTAAAAAGAACACAAGTTTGTGTTAATGCAATGCAAAACAACACATAACTTGTGTAGAATAATTTTCACACAAGTACTTGTGTTGAGATCCAACACAAGTTTTTTTTCAGTGTACCAAAATTGCCATACTTTTATTGGAAATAACCACCCGATAAATACTTTTCTGGGAACCCATCTTTAACACATAATTTATATTGTGTTGATACAGTTTATCAACTTGTACATCAAGCGCTCAATGTTCGCGTGTGACCTTTGACATCTCGCGTGCAGAAATTCTTAATCGTCGGGCTGTTGATTAGGGGAACCCTTACATTTTTGTCCTGTATACGCTCCATGAGTGTTTTTCGGGGAATCCAGTATTTTTCTAGTAAGATTGGATATCGCTACTTTCCATATATACCAAAATTGCCATACTTTTATTGGAAATAACCACCCGATAAATACTTTTCTGGGAACCCATCTTTAACACATAATTTATATTGTGTCTTTCAGAGAGAACTATGGCAATATTTATTGACTCTCGACATCCTGTTTTCAGTGGCGTTTGTATGATCCTGTTTACGATGTTAGGAACGATTTGCAACTGTGCAGCGATTGTCACTTTTGTGTTCAGTGGGAAACTCAGAACAAAGGGAATGTATATAATAATTGTAGTCATATCCTTTGTTCAACTAATACATAGCATCTTCGTACAACCAGTGTATGCCCGTGCTTATTTTATTACCAACTCGTTTGATATCAGTTGCCCAATATTATTTGTTGCATCGGTAACATCAACAGTTTGTCAAGCGATAACCATGTATTGTTTGTTCTTATTATTTGTAAACCACCTGATAAAACAACGATGTCCGAATGAATCCAGGGAAAGAAATTCGGGAATCGTCGGCACGATCTTAATCTGTGTGTTATCTGTAATCGTCATCGTTCCAGTCATAACAACACAATCTACGTCATCATGTTATGTTTTGATCAATTATGACGTATTCCTTGGATTGAATGTTCTCATAAATATCTTACCAAATTCCCTTCTGTGTGTTGCGGGAATTATACTGATCATCAGTCACGCAGTCAGTCGCCAACCCCGGGTCGTGGTTCAAGATGGCCTTACTTCCCAAAGATCTTCAACTTTTCCTACTCATATTGTAGTTGCAGCGTTTATAGCCGTGGTCACCACAATACCGTACGGCATATCGAGTGTAGTGACAATCACGTGTGATGATTACTTCGTTTGTACAAAGTATATATGGATGTGGGATGTATTCGTGATGGCTGATCACAGTATCAGTTTCTTTATTCCATGTTCCTGGCTTCTGGATAGAGAGTTCCGACCATCTTTTAAAACTATGTTGAGGCGAAAGGAAACACAGACCAGAAGTACAGCACCAATAACCACATACAGCACACACCCACATCAACCAAACAAGCGTACGTACACTAGCCAGTAAATACCGATTTCGCACATCGTGAACACACCGTCTTCAGAAAAAAACTCAACACACAAACCCATAACATTGAAGATCAACAAGTATCTTTGACCACCACCTCTAGAGGAGATCTTATTTCTTCAACTTCCGTGCTTTTATAGATTTTTTAATTTAACCACCAATAAAATTGAAAAACAATCGGCATTCCTAGAAATTTACGACGGTTTTGAATTTATCACCAGCTTTATTCTTGTCTTTTACGTGGATATCTGTTTCGTCTTATCCGAAGTATTAGACACTTCTTGCCAGGCCGTCCGTTCTTACCCCCTGGCAAGGGTATTATATTATACGATTAATGCCATAAATAATATATTATAATTTTTAGTTCTATTCCAAACAGAATGAAACAACTCATTGGATTTCTACGGCACCCCTTAAGTGCTCGGGGGGGGGGGGGGGTGAATGGCCGAATGGTTAGCACGTGCGTGCTGTATCATACGGCCCGTCATTGAGTCAACTGGCGTGGTTTCGAATCCCCGGTTGTACGTGACAAGGAGTAGGGTCGCCTGTCCAACGTCGTGGGTTTTCTCCGGGTCCTCCGGTTTCCTCCCAGTGCTAAAGACCCCTACGCGCAAGCGAAATATTGAAATAAAATTAAACCATGTTAGTCCCGAAATGACCTAGTTTGTGTCGAGTGGTCGTTAAACCACATCTCTCTCTCTCTCTCTCTTAAGTGCTCTAAATGAAATGAAATGGGGTTTAACGTCCTACTGTTATGCTCCGACTGGGATAATGAAGACGGACATACGCCACACAGTGTGCTATGAGGGACATTTTTCCCGGGAAGCGGTACTATGGCCTATTCGTATATCGAATTCCAACTGTCAAGGGATCTTTTACGTGCACGCCAATGTATTCACGGGACCCCGGTTTTTCGTACAATCCGAAGGACTAGACAGCTGTCCTTGGCAGGCCCTCCGTCCTGCATCACTGACAAGGGGAAACCACGTTGGATAATCCCGATGAATATTCTCGGCCAATGCAGGGATGGACAGGGTTCCCGCGGTCCTTGAAAATCCTTGAATATCCTTAAATTTAAAATTTCATTTTCAAGGTCTTGAATATCCTTGAATTTCGTGGAAATAGGAAAATATCCTTGAATTTCAGTTGAGATCCTTAAGTTTGTTTCAAATGTCTTCAATTCCTTTTAAATATGAGATAATAACAATAGTTGGTAATGTTTTGGTTATTTTTAAGATGAAAAATTGTAACTTTAGGCTAAAAAATGTCCTTGTAAATCCTTGAATTTGACGTATATTTATCCTTGAATATCCTTGAAAAAATGTTAGGCGACCCACTTAGCCTATAAGTGCCCGTATCCACACTGATAGAACTATTTAGTTTTAACGAATTAATTAATTAATCTATATTAACTAAAAAATATTCCGTTAACTAAATAATTATTTCAGCGTAGAATAGTGTAGTTAAGAGGTTCCGGGGATTTTTAGCGAATATATCACACTTTATCAATTCTTAGTGTTTTCCCAAATTCTATCCGTATTATCGCCCTTATTACTGGTAAATTGTTTAGCGTTAACTCATGACGTAAACGGGCACTCGGCAAACCTCAACAGATTCCAGTACCCTACATCTAGCCCCGGCTGTATGACGAAGTCCGCCATTGGAACTACTTTCAAGTTGCCCATGACGACGCCTTTGAAGAATGTTTTATCATACAAATATTTTAAAGTCTGAAGCTGTTTTTCTTTCAAGTTTATCCGATTTTCTTCAAACAAGGACAAATTTGCACTAAAAATTCTACACACGCTTCGAATGACGCAATTTTGATATTTTATTTTTTAAAGCGGCAAGTTTTCCTAATAAGCTAACCGGTGCCGCATCGCAATTGTATAGGCGTAACTTCATATCACTTACCGTCATACAGCCGAGGCTAGATGTAAGGTAACCGAGTGGTAAACGGACAGACACCGTCAAGACCGGCGACATTTCTATTACTCCGTTCATGGAAATCCTCTGTTGTTTTCTTTCTCATTTTGAAAGGTTATGGCTGCCCTATAGTCGGTGGTTGAAGGGGGGGGGGGGAATCGCCACCCGAGCTGTGAATTTATTAGACCAAGTTTTTCTAGACTAGTTTTTTTGCGTTAGTCTACCACTTCCGGTTTCGGAGTTATGACCCCCCGAGCGAAGCCGGGTATCCTGCTAGTTATTAATAAAACATAAATTTCTAGGACTGCCCATCTCTAAATAATAAGTGTTTATGATGCCTCTGGACAATTGTTTTGATTTGTGGGGAGGTGGAATAGGTGGTTGCGTGTGTGTGTGTGTGTGTGGGGGGGGGGGGGGTAAATTGTCGGGAAATGAGTTCACCCCGATTTAAATGATGATTTTCTTAGAGCTTGATGAAACATCTCTAAATATGTTTATAATATTCCCATTGTGTGGGGATGGACGCCAGGGTGGGTGCACACGGGGGTGGGGATGGGAGGGGTGGTAACATGTGTTTTTGTGGACAGAAATCATTTGGTTCAAAATTGACCTTAAAAGTGGTTTCTCGTTAGCTTTTTCGTTCATTACCTATTTCGTCGTTCAATATATTAAATTATGCTGGTATTTCATCAGAAGATTCAAAATCAAAGTTCATAATATGAGCGGGATAAATAACTTCTTGGTTGCTGACGAACAGCTCGCGTATATCCTTTGGATATGCTTCAGATACCAATTCACGTTGCAAATCTTTATTCCAGCCATGCAGCAAAAGACCGCCACTATGGCAAATTCGTAATAAAGAAATGTCTGTTATTTTTTTCACCCAGAAAATCTTTCTTCTAGCGTCATCTACTGATGTAATTCGCCTTCCGTGATGTTTTCTTCCTTTGCCCACATAACAATATGATGTTAAATTTACGTTACATTTACGTAAAAATGGTCAGTCAGTTTACCATCATTTTGCTCATCTTTTTAACGATAATTTTACGTCAGGAAATGACGTTAATCTAACGTAAAGTTTACGTCATTTTTACGTTACATTTACGTCATTTTCTGACGTAAATCTAACGTAAAGTTTACGTCATTTTCTGACGTAAATCTAACGTAAATTTTGCGTAAAGTTTACGTCACTTATGTTAGATTTACGCCAGAAAATGACGTAAACTTTACGTTAGATTTACGTCAGAAAATGACGTAAATATGACGTAAAAATGACGTAAACTCTACATTAGATTAACGTCATTTCCTGACGTTAAATTTTCGTTAAAAGGATGAGCAAAATGATGGAAATCTAACCGACCATTTTAACGTAAATCTAACATTAAATAAACATCATTTTCGGATGCAATTCTAATGTCAAATGAGCAATTAAAACCTTTAATATAATCTATTATTGGTGGTTGTAATTGTAAAATTCAGTCAACCAATAACCAAATCTTCTTTAACCATATGAGGTGCTAAAGACTCCTGGCGCAAACAATTATTGAACTGAAACTGAATCGTAGGCCCCATTTCTCTCTATCTATTTCGTCCTCGAGGTTTCGGTGGTCAAACGGTTAACGCATGTTCGTTGCATCATAAGTTCCGTCATTGAATTGAGAGAGAGAGAGAAATCGGGTTTAACGTCCACTCAACACAAATAAGGTCATTTCGGGACTAACACATGGTTCAATTTTTTATTTCAATAATTCGCTTGCGCGTAGGGGCCTTTAGCAGTGGGAGTAAACCGGAGGACCCGGAGAAAACCCACGAGGTTGGACAGGCGACCCTACTCCTTGTCACATATTGAAATAAAACTAAACCACATGTTAGTCCCAAAATGACCTAGTGTGATTCGAGTGGAAGTTAATCCCCATTTCTCTCTATACATGTATTTATCAATAACCATTCAGAATTCTAAATGTAATTGCAACCAAACGCCAAAAAACCAGTACAACTTACATAATTATTCAACAAAATATACTACAAGTATCTATACTTTATTCAAAAAATACATATATAATGTAATAAAATACAAAAGTAGACATTTAAATTGTAACAGTTTATCCACAGCATTAAGTTGGTGACAATTTAGGAAACGGTCTTCGAGAAAAACTTTGAAAATGTGGAAATACGCCAACACATTCAGCAGTATATCAGAAAGGAAAACTGTGACGTTGACCAAATTTGATAAAAAAAAACCCTAAAAAAAACCCCTACGGCCTCTATCACGTTTGCTAAAGGTTTTCGAACTAGGTGGGATAATACTGGAAAGGAAATTTGTGGAATACTGAATATCTATGCTTCACACCAACTTTGAAACAAATGTGAATAAATTATAGGGCAGTGTTCACAGGTTTTGCAGCCAATCTGCGGGGGTGGGGACAAAATTTGAAAAAGATACATTAACGATACTTTCTGTAAGATTTAGATAAAGAGCTGACCATTCTTGCTATGATTGTTCAAAAATAAATAATATACATGTAAAATGAAAATTTCATTCAAATTACTTCATTCTGAGCCAAGTTATCACAGTTTCTAGTTTCGACATGATGTGTGCATTGTGGTAATGAGGGCACAGGTATATTCGAGACTTGGCCTCACTTTCCCATTTTTTAATTAAATTTTTAAATTGCAGGCCAGTTAAAATCTTGAGTATCCAATGCCTTCATATTGCATACTTTTACACATTTTGTCAGGCAGTTTCATTTTGATTTTCCCTAAATTCGAATTCAACCTTGATTATGCGATTTTTCGAACAATCAGGAGCCATAATTGAGGAAGTTACGTTCGGATATGCGCGATTATGAAAAGGAACCAAGATCTTAGTGTGTAATGGTTATATATACACATGGTTTTTTTTTATAAATCGAATAAAAATTGTGACCTCTACAGGGACCACAAGCTAAAAACGGATGGACGTCTGGACGGACAGGGGCTACGACAATATACGTCCACATGAAAATGTGGGCGTATAAAAATTGTGACCTCTATAGGAACCACAAGCTAAAAACGGATGGACGTCCAGACGGACAAGGGCTACGACAATATACGTCCACATGAAAATGTGGGCGTATAAAAATTGTGACCTCTATAGGGTCCACAAGCTAAAAACTTGATTTTTCGTACAATCAGGGACCATAATCCAAGAAGTTACGGTCAGATACATGCCAATATCGAAAGCAACCAAGATCTTTTGGAGATAAACCTATATTTCAAGTTTCGTCAAAATCGGATAAGAATTGTGACCTGTAGAGTGTCCACAAACAATTGTGTACAGACGTCCGGACGCACCGGGGCTACCACAATATACGTCCACATGAAAATGTGGGCGTATAAAAATTTTGACCTCTATAGGGTCCACAAGCTAAAAACATGACTTTCAGTACAATCAGGGGCCATAATCCATGAAGTTACGGTCCCACAAACAATTGTGGACGGACCGATGGACGTTCGGACGGACAGGGGCTACAAAAATATACGTCTACATGAAAATGTTAGCGTATAAAAAACTGTCACCTTCACAATCACAAACTAATTTGGACAAACAAACAGTCAGGGCAACGATATAATACCCCAATATTGAAATAAGGTATATACTTAATTACACCAATATTACATGTGTGATAGAATTTGTTAAACACATTACAAATATAATTTTAACACAGATTTTTGCTATTATTGATCTATCACAAAAATTTGAAGAATTTGTAAGGGTTTAAAAAGTTTCCCCGTATACTATGGCGGTATATTAGATTCAAAATTCTAACATGCTATCGTCTAATTTCTTACTTCTACTCTTGTAATTTCTAATTTCCATTCATGTAATTTCTAAATTAAGACAATGTATAATTCAACTTCTTTTTTTGTTCAGTGTAAATTTTAATTGTTTCATCTTATTTCTATTATTAAGGCGAAAAATGTCTAGTCACTTTACATGTTAAGCATGAATGGTAAACAAATTTAGAATTTTGATTTCTACCTAGCAACCATCATTATGACGTCGTTTGGTGTCGCCACCGTTCGCTCAATTTGGCGATTGAGCACCTGATCGGGACCATTCTGTTGATACAAACGACTCGCTCTTAGTCCAGTTGAATGGTTTGGTGGAGTGCTAAAATTGAAAACAACTTCGAGAGCGAGAGAGAGAGGGTCTGATGGGGTTAAACGTCCACTCAACACAAACTACATGTAGGTTCGGTATTAACATGGTTCAATTTTATTTCAATAATTCGCTTGCGCGTAGGGGTGTTTAGCAATGGGAGGAAACCGGAGGACCCGGAGAAAACCCACTAGGTTGGAAAGGCGACCCTATTCCTTGTCACGTACAACCGGGGAATCGAAACCACACCAGTTGACTCAATGACATACCTTATGGTACAGCGCGCACGTGCTAACCTTTCGGCCATCCAACCCCACAAACAACATTGAACGTGATATCTATGTATGGTTTGCAAATACGATTTCAAATACGGTCGGTAAGACGCTGGCTCACTAGCCTAGCGGTAGGGTGTTCGATCCCTGCATTGGTCAAGAAAGTTCATCCAGATTTTCCGGCATGGTTCCTCCTTGTCAGTGATGCAGGATGGAGGGCCTAACAAGTACAGCTGTCTAATCGTTCCGTAGTGCCGCTGTCCGGGCAAAGTTTCCTTCGTAGCACACTGTATGGCGTATTAGCCAAGTTCGGAGTAGAATAGTAGGATGTTAAACCCCATTATATTTCATTTTCTATTTCAAATACAAGCTAAACAGCATTTGTCCATTTTTTTTAAGACAAGTTGAGCCAATTAATATTTATATACTGTTGGTCTACATTAACACAGGGTACAATTTTATAGATAACTCTTACTGAGTTTAATATAAAGCAACGTTTCGACGAGGACACTCTCGTCTTTATCAAGAATGTGTCGTTTATATCAACACAATGGTCCCGACCAGGTGCGCAATCACCAAAAATGAGCACGCAGTGGCGACACCAAATGACTTCATAATGATGGTTGCTAGGCAGAAGTGTAAAAATTAAGAAGAGGTTTTTCGTCTAAATAATAGAAATAAGATGGAATAGAATTAAAATTTACACTGAACAAATAAAGAAGTTGGATTATACATTGTCTTAATTTAACAAAATACATGAATAGAAGTTAGAAATTACATGAATAGAAGTTAGAAAATACATGAACAGAAGTTAGAAGTTAGACGAAAGCTCGTTAGAAGTTAGACGAAAGCTCGTTAGAATTTTGAATCTAATATACTGGCTGCAGTAGATTTTCAACTCACTGATACAACTCAGTTCAAGCCAAAGAGCGGTTATATGATACTGTGACACAGTGACAGGATATCTGCTTGAGGCAAACTATTCATAAACAATTGACTCTTACAAGATCAGACGGAAAATATTTTAAGCCTACTGCTTGTAAAGTAAAGCTTTGGCCTACATTCTGGTGAATTTTGTGCTACCATAGATACATATATGAGTTCGGTACATAATTAAAAAGTCTTTATTTCTTTGCCATCTGGGTGGTTTCATAGACGAGTGTTATTGAGGAGTGTTATTGAGTTCAGTCGCTTGGTTTCAATCCCAAGTCGGTATGTGACAAATAGTTGTGTATGATGTATGATAAGTAGTAATGTCATCTAGCTTCCATATACAAAGCCCTTATCAACCTTTTTATAACTTCCTCGACATGACTGCCATGAATGGTGCTCAAATATAGGATCTGTAAAAAAAAAACAAAAAAAAAATTCAATTAAAGCAACTTTTATACTCCAAAATCAAAATGAAATTAGGTTTAAATTATCATTCAATGTGTACAAAATACCTTGGTTTTTTGTCCCATTCGAAAGACTGTACATTGGCCCCAGCCTGCAGAGACTGGCGTTGGCCCTCTCCAGACTCTCTGTCGTGCGCTCAAAAGTCAACTTTAGTTATGCACAGCAGGTAGATTTTTGATGAAAAGCAATAGCAGCCGGGGTCCAAGGGGGAGACGTCAAGTTTGGAATTACGTTCTGGTTGATTACAGTGTTACAGAAGAATTTGCTATATTTCTGCTATTTAGAATCAAAGAAGATTGAGATTAAAGTGTTGCCAATGCTATGAAAGTAAAAATGTCATGTGCCAAAGCCTGCAGCGTTGAGTAGTGAGGACATATTTTTTTTTAGTTTTTAGTCCAAAAGGTCTAAGTAATTATTAATTAAGTAAAAATGAAAATGTGTACAGTAATAACCTGATAGTAATTTTTTTTTTTTCACAAAAGCAAACTGTTTCGTAACCTGGCGTCTTACAGAAGTTAGAATTACGGTGAAAAATTAGAAAAATAAGGACAGAAATAATTTTACATCTGTGTGAATAGTATTTATTAGTATTTTTACTATTACATTGTATTGTAAGTTCTTTTCATATCGCTGAATTTGTAGTCTCAGTATACGTGTATATCAGCAGTCGGGGATATAAGAAAAAACTTACTTTCAAATAAAACCTCTCAATTTAACTGGTATAATCTATCTTTCTCTGTTTGTGTAATCCAAGTAGCTGTATATTGAACATTTCTCATGCACTCCACGAATAAATTCCAAAACGCCCGCCATCTTTAAAATAACCTTCCCAGAATACCTCGCTTCCGGGTTCAGAGTTGTAAAAAAGTACGTACAAATATAGAAGAATCAAAATGATTTTAATAATGATAGTTTAATCAATGTGGACAATATACTGAAAAAGACAACAAACATAGACCACCTAACATTGAAATCAGTTAATAGAAATTACATTTAATAATCTATCGATGTAGTTATTCATTTGTATTGACTGTAATTTATCTTGACCTTGACCCAAAATGGCGGCATATATCATATACGTAGATAACGGAGTCTATGCGACTATCAACTGTAGGCCTACGCACTTCAATATTTTATATATAGTCTATAACTACGTAATATTTTAGGCTTATGAATAGTAAAATTGAAGAAATTATTATATGATTCAGAGGCCTTTTTTTTAAGCATGCACATGATATAATATACATACGTACAGCTTTATTCGGATCACGACGGATGCAGTACTGCACTGGCAGTAGCCAAACTCGTATATTTGGTTGATGTTTTTTTTAAATAGATCGACTAGAGCCATTTTATTCAGTTGTATCAAATTAAATAATCCCGATTTTTAAAATAATATTTCCATTGCGAATATAGGTATCTACTTTTAAGATGTCGGAATTTTTTTTATATTTATTTTCCCAGTCTTATATTTATCTAGGTCAAACTACAACATATTTATTCGACCGTTGGACAACTTTCAAACGTGTGATAGAATCTACTATAAGGACTAAATTAAATATATTTTTTGTGGTAACAGAGCTTAGACACATAACAAATTGTACACACATGCAATAAAATAATATCTAAATTTCTACAAATTGACCGAATTTAGATTGGTTTGAAAGGCCACTAACTTGTCTGAGTTGGGGTATGAAGATAATTTATATTTACTTATTGTGCAAAAGTTAGTCAATTTAATAAATTCAATTACCACCCATGCAGTTTAACGCTGCCCCAAAATTAACATTCAGGCTGTAAAGGTGTTTTGGGCAATGAAATAAAAAAAAGTATTGTAATATTTTGGAGCAGATTTTATTTTGTTTAACTTCTAATTGGTTAATTCTTGTATGCATGGAAAACAGGCCACATGAAGCCAAGCCTAGAAAATATGCCAGAGTGTCCTAAATCTAATTAGCCATCAAATTTCCAAACATTCAACCAAAATGAGAGGGAGGAGTCCACTAGGCCTACTATATTATTATTATGGTTCAATTATAGCACTTCATTACACATGAGTATTTCTAAGCGCATTCACAAAAACACCCATTTCAACACCATTTTTGGGGGGTTGGATGGCCGAATGGTGACGACCTGTCATTTAGTCAACTGGCGTGCTTTCGAATCCCCGGTTATACGTGACAAGGAGTAGGGTCGCCTGTCCAACCTCATGGGTTTTCTCCGGGTCCTCCCACTGCCAAAGACCCCTACGTGCAAGCAAATTATTGAAATAAAATTAAACTATATGTTAGTCCCGAATGACCTAGTTTGTGTCAAGTGGACGTTAAACCCCATTTCTCTCTCTCTCTCTCTCTCTCTCTCGTTAAACCCCATTTCTCTCTCTCTCTCTCTCTCAACACCATTTTTGAAATAATAATTTTTTAAGTTTTGGATGGAAGAGGACTCACAAAGAGTTTTTGGAAGACAATTTCACCTTTTAGCTGCTCTGACAGAGAAAGAATATTGACAAGCATATTCAATATGTTTCTTTTCTTACGATAGTTTAACAAAATAAAATTTACAGTTCGCACTACTTTCGAGTAGTTGTTGTAGTCACAGAGACTCGAATAGTAAGGAGAATGTGTTTGTGAACTGCACAGGTTTTTTTGTGGAATTATATTTATGACCCTTTTGCCACAGTGGCTAAGTGAATAAGACACTGGCTGGCTTGCTTGGAGGTCACAGGTTCGCTCACAGTGTTGCCTGAGAAAGCTCATCAGAATTTTCCGACGTGGTTTCCGCTTGTCAGTGGTGCAGGACGGAGGGCTTGACAAGGACAGCTGTCTAGTCGTTTGGATGGGACGAAAAACTGAGGTCTTATGTACACATTGGCATGTACATAAAAGATCCCCTGGCGTGGTTTTGATTTCCTGGTTGTACATGACAAGGAGTAAGGTCGCCTGTCAAACTTCATGGGTTTCTCTGGGTCCTCCAGTTTCCTCCCACTGCTAAAGACCCCTACGGGCACGTGAATTATTGAAATAAAATTAAACTATATATGTTAGTCCAGAAAAGACCTAGTTTGTGTCGAGTTGATGATAAATGCCATTTCATTCTCTCTGAGGTCCCATGTACACATTGGCATGCACTTAAAGATCCCCTTGCAGTTGGAATTCAATATAAGAGTAGACCTTAGCACTCCTGTCCAGACAAAACTCCCTGGTAACGCACTGGCGGAGGGTCGGATGGACAAATGGTTAGGCGGTGGACACACTAGCCGAATGATTCGGTGTCCACTGTCATTCGGCCGAATAATTCGCCCGAATCAATTATATTCGCCTGGTGTGTTCGCTTCGCCGAAGCATTCGGCCGAATATAGAATTCATTAGCCAATCACCACTCATATCGAGAAGTCACATGATAGATTAAAGACACAGACGTCGCCATGTTTAATCATGTGACGTGAAAGGTGATGCAACCGACAGGTTGAATCGGGCGAAGCATTCAGCTAGTGTGTCCACCCATTCAGCCGAACGATTCGGCTAGTGTGTCCATCGATTTAGCGCATGCGTGTTGTATCATAAGGTATGTCATTGAGTCAACTGGCATGGGTTCCATTCACGGGTTGAATATGACAAGGAGTAGGGACGTCTGTCCAACCCCGTGGATTTTCTCTGGGTGCTCCGGTTTCCTCCCACTGCTAAAGACCCCTACGGTTAGTCCTGAAATAACCTAGTTTGTGTCGAGTGAATGTTAAACCCCATTTCATTCTCACTCTCCCTTTGGATGGTGCCACACTTTTTCATGTATTATCATTATTTGTTTTCCCTCTCAGGTTTGATTTTGATTGCAAAACCACATAAAAAAGGCTATTAATTGGACTACTTTCAAGTTGCTGTAGTCACAGACTCAAATAGTAAGGAGAATGTGTTTGTGAACTGCAAATTTTTTTTTTTGTGGCACTACATTTATGACCCCGGAGCCACTGACTGGCTAGTGTTCATCAGGATTTTCCGATGTGGTTTCTGCTTGGCAGTGTTGCAGGACAGAGGGCCTGACAAGGACAGCTGTCTAGTCGTTCGAAAATCTGAGGTCCCATGTACACAAAATGAAATGAAATGGGGTTTATCATCCTACTGTTCTGCTCCTAAACCGGGCTAATGAAGATGGGCCTACACCATACAGTGTGCTATGAGGGAAATTTTGCCCGGGCAGCGGCACAACAGAATACTCTTATATCGAATTCCAACTACCAAGGGATCGTTTACGTGCACTCCAATGTGTACAATATCAAGTTACTGTAGTCACAGACAGGAATAATAAGGAGAATGTGCACTGCACAGGTTTCTAGTCTTTCGGATGGGACGAAAAACTGAGGTCCCATGTACATATCGGCATGCACGTTAAAGATCCCCTGACAGTTGGAACTCAATATATGAGTAGGCCTTAGCACAGCTGTCTGGATAAAACTCCCTTGTAGCACACTGGCGTGGTTGAATGGCTAATGGTTAACTTTCAAGTTAACACACTGGCTAACTAACGAGGGGTCCGATCCTGGTATAGAATTTTCCCCTTGTTTGTAATGTAGGACAGTGTCTAGTCCTTCAAATAGGACAAAAAATCAAGATCTTGTGCTCATGTTGCATGTGCATGTAAACGAAACCTTGACAGCTGGAATTCGAAATGAGAGTAGGTCATTCATTCATTCCTTTTTCTCTTTATGTGTCGCTTACAGGCTGAAATTCTTAAAGGAGTTAAAAGGTTCGATCCCTGCATTGGCCGAGAAAGTGATGCGGGACGTAGGGCCTGATAAGGACACCTGTCTAGTTGTTCGGATCCGATGAAAAACTGAGGTCCTGTTGACACATTAGTGTGCACGTAAAAGATCCCTTGACAGTTGGAATTCGATATAAGAGTAGGTCGTAGTGCCGCTGTACGGGCAAAATGTCCCTCATAGGACACTGTATGGCACATGCCCGTCTTCATTAGCCCAGTTCGGAGCAGAACAGTAAGACGTTAAACCCCATTTCATTTCTATTGTTGGGCCCCTGGAAATGGACAAAAATGGGTAGCAAGGCATATAATAATATAACATGAATGTATATAAACTGAATAAAGTTCAGTCTTATCTGGTTTTACTGTATATTTTAATCAATTATGTTCGACAAAATATGCAAAAAGCCCAAATTGAATGACAGTCTTTGACGTCTGCTTATTCTAGTCCACACCAGTATTCTCCTGTGGGATATGGTTAGCCTTCTTCATCGAGTCGCTTCATTACAAATGGTGCTCATGTTATTAAACTGACATTTGTTTACGTAAGAAAACTAAGGATAAAAAATGACAGTAATTTAATTGTTAGTATCATGAAATTAAACTGACATTTGTTTTACTTTATACAACTAATATCAGGTTTATGTTAGAAAACTAACATTAGATTTATGTTAGAAAATTAACGTTAGATTTACGTTAGAAAACTAACGTTAAATTAACGGTTAAAATTATGACATAAAAGTAACGTTATATTAACGTTAGAAAACTAACGTTATATTAACGTTAGAAAACTAACGTTAGATTTACGTCAGAAAACTAACCATAAACTAACGGTTAGAATTATAACCAATAATACATATATAATTATTATGTCTGAATTCCAACTATTTATCAATTGTTAGAATGTGCACACACTTGTAATGTTATTTAATCAAGAAGTATTTAAAGCGAAAAAAATTGGTTAGTAATCCGTCATAAAGTTTACGTTACATTTACGTCATTTTCTGACGTAAAAGTAACCATAACCATTATGACGTAAAAGTAACGTAAATTTAACCAAAGAATTTTACCATTATTGGACGCTAACCAAAATCTAACCATAATGACGTAAACTTTACGTAAATCTAACCATCAATGTTAACTGGGTGCCTGTCTCATTATCCATCAAAAGGTGTATATTTGGATCATTGTGAGAAAACTTATTAGGATGTCTATTTCGCCCGAGCAAGAACGCAAAATACAATTTATTTCAGCGCTTCCATTAATTTGCAATGAGTAGGGGAGTAGATCAGCTATTTTGGTGTCCCTGTGGTTTGTTTTCAGTTCTAGGATATTCTCGACACTTTTCAATACTAATCTTGATATTTTTTGCTCCAATCAAGATTAGTATTGAAAGTGTCGAGAATATATCGACCTACATGCTTTCAGTGGTAATGACTATCTGCCTTTCTTTTTCCAGCTTTCTAACAATTTTTAAAAAGCTGGGACAGACAAATGATGTTTCTGATGACGTAATTACTGGTTTAGAAAAAAATTGTTTGTACCATGTACGGCTAAAGACGACCTACATCAGTAGATGACACTGGAAAAAGATTTTCTGGCGGAACTTTAATTGTGATGAAAAATAATAAACCTTTCTTTCTTTATTACCATCTTGCCTGAATAGTATTTTGCTGCACATTAAACGCAACAATTATGCTGAAACAATATGGAGACAGGCTGCAAAACCAATGATCGAACAAGATGACTCTGCGATACAAGGCTGGAATGAAGACTTACAATGTGAATGGATATCTGAACCATATCCAAAGGATATATGCGAGCTGTTGGTTAGCCATCCAGAAGA